AAAGTCCACAGGATCTTCATTTTCTGATGGGGCACAACTCAAAATGAAGAGAAACAGCTGTAAATAGTCATTAATAATCAGAACATGGAATGTACAGAATATGAATCTAGGAAAATTAGAAATTGTAAAAAATGAAATGGAACGCATAAACATCAATATCTTAGGTATTAATGAGCTGAAATGGACTGGTTGGTATTGGCCATTCTGAATCTGACAACCACATGGTTTATGTGGTTCAACGACAAATTGAAGAGGAATGGTGTTGCATTCATTGTCAAAAAGAACATATCCAGATCAGTCATGAGGTATAACACTGTCTGTGATAGGATAATATCCATGCATCTACAGGGAAGCCCAGTTAATACCACTATTATTCAAATTTACTCAACAACCACTAAAGCCAGTGAGGATGAAACAGAAGAATTCTACCAACATCTTCAATCTGAAATTGATCAAACATTCAATCAAGATGTATTGGTCATTACCGGTGATTGGAATGCAAATGTTGGAAGCAAAGAGGAAGGATCAGTAGTTGGAAAATATGGGCTTGGTGATAGAAATGAGGCTGAAGATTGCATGATAGAATTCTGTAAAAATCAATGATTTGTTCATTTCAAATATCTTTTTTAGACTGCATAAGAGATTACTATACACATGGACTTGCCAGTTGGTATACATAGAAATCAAATTGACTACATCTGTGGAAAGAGAAGATGGAAAAGCTCCATATCATCAGTCAAAACAAGGCCAGTGGAAGATTGTGGAACAGTCCATCAATTACTCATATGCAAATTCAAACTAAAGCTGAAGAAAATGAAAACAAGTCCACGAGAGCCAAAATACGACCTTGAATATACTCCACCTGAATTTAGAGATCACCTGAAGAACAGATTTGATACGTTAAACACTAAATAAAGACCGAAGACCAGAAGAGTTGTGGGGTGACATGAAGAACATCATACATAAAGGATAAAGTAAAAAGTCATTAAAAAGACATGAAAGAAGGAAAAGGTCAAAATGGATGTCATTGTATTTATGGTATTGTTGTTGTAAATGCCGTCAAGAAGAATCCAACACATAGCGACCCTATATAGGGTTTCCATGGAGCAGCTAGTAAGCTTGAACCACTGACATTGCAGTTCAAATGATGCATTAGTCCACAGCGCCACTCCAGGACTTCCAGAAGTCCTGGTGTGGAGCTGTAGGATAAGTCAAGGTCAGCAGTTCAAACCCACCAGCCACTCCTTGGAAACCCTATGCAGCAGAGGTGGAGAACGTCTGGCCCATGGGACATATAAGGCCTGTGAAATCACTTGGTCTGGCCCTGCCAAGGCAACTGACTCCACAGCACATAACCACAACAGCAGTGTGCCCAAGAGGCTTGCTCCCTGACCTCACACATTATATCCATATATATTGCATTTTCAATTATGAGACTCTACCACTACAGCAAAGGAATTTTGTTTTATTCACTAACACATGAGGGTAAATCAAGAAGTATTTCTAAAATTTTATAGAAACCTTTATTAAATAAAACATCAAAATGTGAAGTTACTGTTTCTTAACGTATCCCCCACCTTGTTGTTGTTGTTGCTGAGTGTAATGGCGTTCCCTCTGACTTATAGCGACCCTATAAAGCCAAACTCCATGTCTCATACTTTGGACAGGTTATCAGGAGGGACAAGTCACTGGAGAAGGATATCATGTTTGGTAAGATGGAGGGTCAGAGAAAAAGAGGAAGACCTCCAACGAGATGGATTGGCCAAGTGACAGCATGGATAGTGAGGTTGGCCTAGGATTGGGCAGTGTTTCATTCTGCTGTGCATAGGGTCACTATGAGTCTGTACCGACTTGATGGCACCTAACAACAAATATATAGGGTTTCCAAGGAGTGGCTGCTGAGTTTGACCTGCTTCCCCTGTGGTTCAAACCAACCACGCGGGTCTAGTGCTTTAACGCCCAGCACAGCACCGCACCAGGACTCCATCCTCCACCTAGGTCTAGACATTTCTTTTTTTACTATGAATTGGGTGACAGTTTAGAAAGCAGATCATCAGTTTCATACTCGACAATTCATACACATTTTGTTTCATCTCGTTGGATGCAGTCCTCTCAATGTAACACACTTCCTCCCTGTATTTCCTGTTTCCATTCTTCCTTCTTTCCTAAGTCTTCTGAACTTTGTCCTTGAGTAAATGCTGCCCGATGATTCTCCAATGATTTTTTTAAGCTGTGTATATCTCACTAATGTTATTGTTCCCCTTATATACCTATCCATTGCTTAGCTAATAATTGGGCCACCGAGGGGTGAGTTCAGATCCAGACTTGGAGCGTGAGTAAGGGCCATGATCTCAAGGATTCTATCAGTCTCTATGTAACCAATTAGCCTGGTCATTTTTTGTTTTGTTTTATGATTTTGAGTTTCATTCCACGTTTTTCTTCCACTCCATCCAAGACCTTCTTATGTGATACCTTTCACAAAGAAGTTGGTAGTGGTACCTGGGCACCACACAGTTTTTCTGGTTTCAGGGTCATGGAAACTACATGTTCATGTGGTCCATTTAGTCCATGGGACTGATTATTCCCATGTGTCTTCAGTTTCCATTCCTCTCCTATCCTTCAGACAGGGAAGAATTAATAGTTGCACCTTAGATGGCCACTTATGAGCTTTTAAGACCCTAGTCTCTACTCACCAAAGTAGGATATAAAACATTGGCTTTGTGAACTATGTATGTCAGGGGGTCTTGGAGTCCCCAGAGACCATGGTCCTGCATCCTCAAGTCCAACAACACATTCACTCAAAGTGTTTGGTTACCTTTAAGAAGTTTGCAAAAGTTTGTCCCCTGTATGGATCTATTGGCAGTCGATTTAAATACCCATAGGTCTATACATTTCTGAAGACAGTGTTTCCATATAAAAATTCTAAGCTTTTGGACTTACACCACATCAAAACACAGTTTGGGCATCCTCAAAGGATGCAAACTATGTTCTTTTGAAATGTTTTTTGAATTTGTGGAGCAAACAGAAACGAAGGGGCAAGATCAGGGCTGTAGTGTGGATGGGGTAAGGTTTCCAGCAAAATTCTTGTAGGACAGTGCTTGCCAGCCTCAGAGAATGAACATGTGCATTGTCACGCTGCAACACACTTTCCTCTGTGCAACATTCCTGGCCTTTCTCTCATCAAGGCAGTTTAAGTTTCTTAAAACTTCTTCCTAATAAGCCCTGGAATTGTCCTGTTTCCTTTGAAAAAAAATCTAACAAGAGTATCCCTTGTTGTTGTTGTTGTTATGTGCTGTGGAGTCAGTTCCAACTCATAGCAACCCTGCATAGGGTTTCCGAGGCTGGTAGTTTCAAACTGCTGACCATGAGATTACCAAGCCGATTCGTAACATTCGTAACCATTATGCTACCAGAGCTCCTAGAGTATCCCCTTGGAGTCCCAAAAATAGTTCTCATAACTTTCTGAGCTGACCTTTCAGTCTTGAATTTAACAGGCCCAGCCAATTCCCTTGGAAGCCACTGTTTTGATCTCAGAGATTTTTTTTTTTTTTTTTTTAAGACATCCTAGTGAGGCTAAGACACATGTGTTAATGTATGACTGTGAGACTTGTCTGTAGCCATCCACTGATCAGAAACATGTTTCAACATGTTTTGTTTGAACTAAACCCATGCATATATGTATTGGAACCCTAGTTGCAACACTTTTTGACTCACCCTCATATTTCTGGCATTTAATCAATCACCAAACTGCCACTTGGTCAAAACAGAAGTTTAATAAACCAGTTAGTAAATATTTTCTGAAAGGACCAGAAAGTAAATATGTTTTGCTTTAAGCACTATAGAAACTGAGATGACTATTCACTTTTGCCTTTCTAGTGCAAAAACAGCCATGAATAAACATGGGTATGTTCCAAGAAGAGTTTATTAATAGAAACTGAAATTTAAATTTGGCATAATTTTCACATATTAAGAAATACTAGTCTTTTGGGATTTTTCCCAGCCATTCAAAAATGCAAAAACCATTCTTAGCACGTGGAGGGCACATCCTGTCCAGGAGCTGTATGTAGTTTTATTACCTACAGTGAACCATCATTGAATGACCAAATTAATGAATGGATTAGACAAATGTTCAATAAACAGTCAGTGAGTGAATGAGAGAATGAATGAATACATATCAACTAGCGGAGCTCTTTTAAAAAGACATGCAGCACGGTGTAGTAGAAAAACTAACAAACACTAGGTCAAAAGAATGAAAATTGTAATTTGGTTTTGCTTCTTACCAGACAGAAATTTTCACTGAATTTCTGTTTTCTCTCTGAAAAGCAAGGGCAGTATTCTCTGCCTTAAAACATGCTCACAGAAATGCAAGATATTTTTATTCAATCACTATTAAATGAGTACATATTACTAGGTGCCAAGGATGGTACTTATTCTTATTCAATACCACTAAATAAATTAGCCCTGCTATCAAGTCTACTCCAACCCATGGACACGTATGTGTGTCAGAGTAGAACTGTGCTCCACTGTATTTTCAAAGGCTGATTTCTTTAGAAGAAATTTACTAGAGCTTCCCTCTGAGACACGTCTGGTTGTAGCAACAGGTGAACACATAGGCCATCTGTACTCTCAAAATTGGCACTGTTGTTACTTGCTGTTGAGTTTGTCTATACTCATATTGACCCTGTATAGGGTTTCTGAGGATCAGTTGATGAGTTTGCAGGACTGCCGACCTTGTAGTTAGTAGTGCAGTGTTTACCCTACAACACCACACCAGGACCTCTGTAGTATCTATTGTTGTTATAAGTGCCATTGAGTCTGTTCTGACTCATAGCAGCCCTTCATAGGGTTTCAGAGGAGAGAGTGGTGAGTTTGAACCACCAACCTTGTGGCTCAAATCCACCTTGCGGCCCAGTACTTACCCTACAGGGCCACGCCCACAGCAATTCTCAAAAACATTAAAGGTAGAAAGGTTTTATCTGTTTACCATCAATTCAACTTACCCTGTTTTGGGTTAAATTGAGGCTTCCCCAGATGATATTGCCTGAGACACCCAGAGCAATGCTTTCGCCAAGTGTGTTCACTAGGTCATCCTGGCCAAAGACAGAAAGTTCGCAGAGAGGAACAAATGCAAGTGTTATACATCAGGCAGGAACACCAAAACAAGCAAGCTTGTTGATTCAAGAATAAGAGCTTAATTATTTCCCCACAGGCAGAAAAACTTCCTGCATTTTACACAGCCTCTGTCCTACTATAACGTATACATTCTTTATGTTGTTGTTATTGTTAGGTGCCATCGAGTTGGTACCAACTCATAGCGACATTCTTTTTAATGTTTTAATGACTTTTATTGAGGAGAGCAGGTCCAAGAAAGAAAAAAAAAATGTTTTAAGGCTAAGTTAATATATTGTCTCAGCTAGCGTGGTGGTTACGAGTCAGGCTGCTAACTTCAAGGTCATCAATTGGAAACTACCAGCAGTTCCTCAGGAGAAAGATGAGCCTTTCTGCTCCATAAAGACTTACAGCCTCAGAAACCCTATGGCTATGAGTCAGAACCAACTCCACGGCACAAAACCACCACCACCTAATATTTCACAGTTGCTAAGATTTTTGTGATCACATTAAAAATAAACGTTCTGAAATTTTAAAAGTTAATTTTTGCTCTCTTCAAAACAGATATTAAATGCCACTAAACATCGCTACATCAGAAGCTCTGGTAGCGAGTTGGGTTATTAACCAAAAGGTCAGCTATCTGAACCCATCAACCACTGAGTGGAAGAAAGATGAGGTTTTCTACTCCGTAAAGTTTTCCAGCCTCAGAGACGCATACAGGGTAGCTAGCAGTCAGAATCAACTCCACAGCACTTAACCACCAACACCACTTGTGGATTGGACTTCATAGCCCCCATCCTTTGACTTACTTACCTGAGAAAGGTATTTCAAAACCACATCAGAGAAAATTGGACGGGAATATACAAAAACTGGAAGTGGATTTTCAGTATCACGTACTTCAGAAACCCGAATGGCTTCCTGCACACGATTCCTAACAAAGAGGGCAGCGAAGCCAGCAGACGTCAGGGAAGCCCGTAAATAAATGGATGGGAAGAGGGCAGTGCTTTCTTCCCACAACCAGCTGAGCTCATCATTTCTCCTCTTTTCTATGTTAAAGCAACTTCCATTGTAACCAGGCCTTGTGTAATGATAGTTGTAACATTCAGGAAAAAGATAAAAACCCCAGAGATGCTTTGGCCGAAGAAGCTTTCCCAATTTTAAAGTTTCTTGCATGAAACTCCTTGCTGCCTTTTGAAAATCTATCTTGGCTCTCTTGGTGGCCTCTGTGACATTAAGTTGCATATTTTGTTGCTGAACCAACTCAACAGATGTCTTCCTGTAGATGTCTTTAGGTTTCCAGTTCCTTGCCCAGATGGGCCTCCATTCCTCCCAGTCGATGACAGCCAAACTTGTTTGATTTGTTTGCGTGTAGTAGGAAATGTCTTCCTTAGCTTTGGCCAAATGACCTGTTAAGGATGCCATCTGGGGAATGCCACCATTCACACTTTTGCCTGTTTTTTCATTTATATAAGGGTAGTAACCAAGCCTGTCAAGATAAAATATTGTAAGACCTTGCTTAGTGATGCCTTTCCTGGGGCTTCCTATTAAAGAAAAGAGGCTCAAATCTAGTGGCACATCAAACTTTTTTGGACAAAGTTCAGTAGGGGCATTCCAGGCCCAGAGGAAAGTCACATTTGGGATTAGACGTGGTGCTCGGAAAGTGAGTGTCAGGCAATATGGAATCAGAAGACAGATGAACAATGCCTGGGATGCCCCATTGGACCCAGTAACTCTCCCAAAAGAGATGTATTTGAACCTTAACACTCCCATGATACACTCGGTTTGCCCAAGATTTGGTGCATGAGAGAGAGAATGAAGTCACTTCAATGGCTCAAGATGCACAATGATCGTATCGCACTTGAATGTTACTCTTCTTGGAATATTTTGCAAGTTGCTTCATCTATGACTGAGAAAGAAAGATAGGGTATATTATGACACTGCATTTCTATATCAACAATCTTAGCTTTATCATGTTCTCAACTTTAAGTACAGGGAGTTAATTCCATTTTAGAAGATGAAAACCTACTCCTGTGTTTGAATCAATAGAATTATTTCCTCTATTATATGATATAAATTCTTTAATAGCTAACTTTTTGTTTGTTTGTTTTTTGGTTTCCCAAATTGTCCTTGAGCCTTCTGCAGAGGCAAATGCAATTATTTTAGTTTTACCTTCCTTGTTGTTGTTGTCAGGTGCCATCGGGTCAGAACCGACTCATAGTGACCCCATGCACAGCAGAACGAAACAATGTCCGATCCTGAGCCAACCTCACTACCGCTGCCACACTTGGCAAAACACTGCACCAAACAATGTTTTAGCAAAGCCTGTTGAGTGAAGAGAAATTCCATGTCTATCCTCTTATTCTTAACTGCTGCTTCTTGAAAGATCATTTTTCAGTTGTCTGCTAAATATTGAAAGGAGTCCTGGTGTAGTATTGGATAAACACTGGACCACAAGGATAGTTTGAACTGCCAGTTCAGTGGTTCAGATCTACCAGCCGCTCTTCGGAAACCCTATATAGGGCCACTATGAGTCAGAACCAACTCGATGGCCCTAAACAACAGCAACAAATATATTGAGAACAATTGATCATAGACTTGTAAAACATCATCTTTTCTTTTTCTATTCTTTTTTTCCTTTTGAAGAGAAACTGATAAGGGAGGTGATCAACCTCACTTTTTTTTTTTTTTTCAGCTATAAGTTTGTATTTAATTCTTCACAATTATTGCAAGAGGCACAAGTTAAAAGAAAGACCAAGTTCAAAAGACTACACTATTTGTTTCTATGTTACCAGTTGGTATCTGGAGGAGCTCTGTGGAAATGCTTTATCTAAACTATCCTCACTATTGTTCCAGAAGGCCTAACTTAAGTGCAGAGGTGCCCACTTCTCAGGCCTCACTTTGCTGCTGTTTCATTCTGGTACCTTACTGTATTGGCACTGGCTTAGGAGCTTGAATCACTGACCTTGAGCTTCAAATCAACTTTGTGTAGTCCAGCACATTAAACCACAGCACCACACCAGGACTCCAAAAAATTACCTGTACTCTGGCTGTGATGGTGTGGGTTCCAACTCATAGAGACCCTGCATAGGGTTTCCAAAGCTGTAAACCTTTACTGGAGCAGAAAGCCTCATCATTCTCCCACAAAGCAGCTGGTAGTTTCGAACTACTGACGTTGAGGGTGGTAGCCTGACTCATTACCACTATGCTACCAGAGTTCTTTGTTGTTGTTAAGGGCCATCAACTCTATTTCAACTCACAGTGACTCCATGCGAGAGTAGAACTATCCCTTAGGGTTTTCTTGGCTGTAATCTTTCTGGAATCAAATCAGGCCTTTCTCCTGCAAAGGGACTGAGTTGGTTCAAATTGCTAACCTTCAGACAGCAGCTAAGCATTTAGCCAGAGTCCTGGTGTGGTGCTACAGGTTAATATGCTGGACTGCAAGATCAGTATAAACCGCAAAGTCAGTGGTTCAAGCTCACCAGGGGCTCCTCGGTCAACCCTGCATAGGCACTATGGGTCAGAACCGACTCAACGGCACTTAACACCAACAATCATTTAATCATTTGCCCCACCAGGCACTTTAAAGAGAACATCATAGTCAAGATCGAAGGGAATTACAAGAACAATTAGATCTCATCTTTTTTAAGAAAATAGCTTTTTCTCTAAGATTATGTTAGCAATGTTCATAGTTTAAGCCCTTATGAGCTTCTCTACTCAGACTCTAGAAAATCTTGTCATAAAATAATTGGGAGAGCAGGTGATAACTAATTATTTTCATGAAATTATCACCAACATCCAACACCAATGTCTGAATACTAGGGAGCAGAAGAAGTGAATGGAATAGAGAAATGATCTGATTTTCCTGTGTGCTGAAGAAGAGGTAGTCTAAGCTTATTGAAAACATTCATATGCAAATCTAAGTTCCACATGGTCATTTTATATAAGAAAAATATTGGATCTAAGACTAGTGCTTTTAGGAATATCTCTACCCACAGATATCATTGAAAAAGAATGTCTTTGAAAGTCATGAATTAACATTATGAACTGTCAATTATTTTCATTTATTTAAACTGTGGTGTTGCCCAAGAACACTGAACTTGACCTTTTCCTTTGATATGTTATCAAGAAAGTCCAATGTCTAGAAAAGGACTTCATGTTTGGTAATGTTGACAAAAGGAGGGGAATCCTCATTAAGATGAATTAACACAATAACCGCAACAGGGTTTGAGCTGCAGCAGTGAGCTCGAACATACCAGCACCATGACGATGATGTAGATTGGGACAGCCTTTCCATCTATTACACATAGAGTTGACATAAGTGGGAAACGGCCCAACAACAGCTAGCAAGGAAATACCTCCTGATTTCCTGGGGAGTGCACATGCATTCCGCTGCTAATGAAAAGGATGGAGATTTGAATCCATCCATAGGTACCTGGTGTGGTGCTACTGGTTAACGTGCTTGAGTGCAAGGTCAGTTTGAACCACAAGGTTGGCGGTTCAAACTCATCAGCTGTTTCTCGGAAACCCTATACAGGGTTGCTATGAGTCGACACAATAACAACAACAACACAGGTACCTAGGAAGGAAGACCCAGCAATCGACTTCTGAAAACAGTAGGGGTCCGTTTTAGTCTGATCCATGTGGGTCATCAAGCATGGGAGTCAACTCAGCTGCAACTTGTTTTAAATGATCCCCTTAAGAAATCATTCTCTAATATGAAAAAGGTAAAAATTCCAGGCAGAAGCAGGCTCCTAAATGTGGTGAACTACATCCTAATCATATTCAGTAGGGTCTGTACTGTTTCTGAAGCACTCCGTTTATTTCTGGAGCACCCAAAAAATGACTTCTGCCTCTAGTTCCCAGTTACAATTGTTGTTGTTAAGTGCTGTTGCGTTAGTTCCAACTCATTGCGACCCTGTCTAGGGTTTCCCAGGAGCAGCTGATGAGTTTGAATCGCCAACCTTGCAGTACAAACCGACAGCATCATACCAGATTAGCAGAACATTCCCAAAGCACAAAAACCCATGTTTAAGTTTTTCCTCTTAAAGTAAAACTTTATATAAGATTTTCAGGCAAGAGAGGAGTCTTCAAGTAAATTTTTTTCTAACAAATGTCTTCTTAAGCTATGATACTTTATAAGTCATTTGGCCAGAATAGACATCACATACTAGACTCAACGAGAGAAGTTGAAAACATTTTGGGTAACATTCCACCAATTCCTTTTCCCTTCCCCATCCCCTTTTCCTTTTTTTTATTGTTGTTATTGTTTTTATTACCCCCCTCCCTTTGTTCCATCTCCTACCTTTATTTTAACTTTGTTAGGATTCCCAAAGGTATAGCTTTGCATAGGCTGGAGAGCTTCAGGCCAAAGAAACAGTTAATTTTTCATCTGTGTTTTCGATTGTTATTGTAGGGATTTTTGTTTGTCTTGTTGATTTTTCCATCTGAGTTGTTTCCAATTCAAAGTGGACCTGTGAGAACAGGAGGAAAAAAAAAACCAGACTAAACAGTACTATAGAGTTTCCTCAGCTGTCATATGAGAAACAGATCACCAAGTTTTCCCCCACAAGTCACTGGTAGGTTTGAACTGCTGAATTGCTGGCCTTTCTCACTTAATAACTGAGTGTTCAACCATATAATTACCAGGGATCCTTGTGCTTCCAATACCTAGAAATTAAATGACAAACTTCTCACTAAAGAGGTAGTCTTAAAAATGTGGCACATTACATAGTCTCTCATTGTTTTTCACAAAAAGACATAACAAGTTATGAAGCAGGAAGGAAAACAAGGCAACTTGCTTTTAAAGCAAGAATGGCAATGTTTCTTTCTAAAATGTAAGTAGGTCAGAAGTTGGTCCACAAGGCAAATAGCACATTATCGTTTAACCTGTTGGGTGAGAAAAGGATGCCTTTAGCCCAGTCAATGAATGACTTACTAATCTTTTGAGGAGTGTCAAAGTCATTAAAGTCGTATGTTTAGTTGGGATTAAAAGCATGAAGCTCCATCATGGAGAACAACTCAAGTTGGGAAGTTTCAAGAAGGTCCAAACACTCCAATCTTAGAGATGAGGAGAAGAGTCCATACACAAAGATTTCAGGAACTTTTCATCAAATTTCCAGATTGGTTGATTTTTTCTTTTTTTTTTCTTTTGAAGTCCTAACAGTCAGGCATAAGACAATCATAAAGACCACATACATACCTACCCCCTTTTTTTATATAACATCAGTGTTTCTTACACTAAGCTTCAGAAATCATCTAAATAAAAATTTTCTGTGGATGTAAACATTTCACAAAATTAAACCACATAATTTAGCCAATTATCTTCAAGCTTCCCTCAACTAAATAAGTCAAGGTTTGTGTACTTATGGGAAAAACAGAATCAACCAAACTGGCTCTGATATCACCTGTTTCAGCGATTTTATTCAAGCAAAGCACCTCAGATTGCAGATGACTGACATGCTTCCCTCTCCTGATCAGGAATTCCCACAGAAATGTCTGCTTCTGCATGGGCTCTTTGTTGTATAGAATTAAAAATTCATCTTAGATGGCTGCTTTTAAGACCCAGGCACTACTCGTGACTCTGGTAGCTGTGAACCATCTTGTTCAGAGTTCTTCACTATGTCGTGGCTTCAATACTCTGCTTCCTTGTTTATTGTTGTTGTTGTTAAGTGCCGTTGAGTCAGTGCCGACCCATAGTGACCCTGTACAGGGTTTCCGAGGCTGTAAATCTTTATGGGAGCAGAACGCCTCATCTTTCTCCCACAGAGCAG